TCAAAAATAGAAAGCGTGTCTATCAACTGAATAAAGCAAAACAAAACAGGCATTTCCATTGCGGACAGCTTCACTGATTATAATTGGAGCAATTTAGTTTTGTCCCGACATGATGCCCGCATCTGGTGTAGACACAGCATTAGAGACACCTCCTCCTTTATATCAGACAGACACAACTGTACGTCAATAAATGAGTATCTGTGTGTGTGTGTGTGTATGTGATAGAGAGAGAGAACACACTGAAAGTGAAGGATGTGTAGCAGTGAAATATTCAGCAAGCTTTAATGAGACTGACAATTACTCATCTGCTTAACTATATGTCTAATGAAGAGAACTAAATATATCTCACATTATTTCATCACACACACACTTCCTCAAGCTCAGCAGAGAGTGTGATTATGCTTATGCTCTCTTGCTGTGTCATATCATAGCATATTCTCTCTCTCTGTCTCGCTCACATAAGTGGAGGCACTTCTGGATCATCCACGAAGTCCTTTGACACAGGCCTCTCCTCGACAACACAACACTGGTGAGGCTGCGAGAGCTGCAGGGGCTTGTGGGAAGACTCCTTTCCTTTGGGAACAATGTTGGCCAGACTCCCAGCCAGACCTGGATCCACCTCCAATAATTCACGCCCTGGTGCTGCCCTGCAGAGAGACAGATCTGACTGAGATTGCTGTTTTGTTGCGTTTTAAGAATTTATTAGTCTATAACTCCAGTCTAACTGTTCAGTCAGCACAATCTCTGCAAAATCAAAGTCGGTTTCTCCCACCTGCTCTTTGCTAAATCACATCCACCACAAAGATGCACACTATAAGACACATTTGACCCTATTCACTTTCTGAATAAATGTCCTAGTTCTTACTGTGCATGATTCATCGGTGTACCTTATTATGAAGAAAAAAGTTTTTCATAATCTTTAACGTAACAGACTCATATGACTTTCTTTATTCTGAGGAACACAAAAGAAGATATTTTGAAGAATGTTGGTAACCAAACACTATTTTTTGTCCACACTATAAAAACACACAGGGCTCACAAAATGAATTGTGGTTAATTTACCTATATCAACACTACAAGTTTCTGTTCATAATAATATTAGTGTGAATATCTTAGCTATAGTTCTGTTAATATTATATAGGGGGCCTTTGAATATTGTGTTGGACAGTGGGAGTACAGTGAGAGGTTAAGAACCACTGAACTAGACATTTAACCCTAAATGTGTAACTGCACTAAGCTGTCCTGGAAGTAACAGAGACGTCAAGCAACAGATGCTGATGGAACAGCAACGGTGACTGGAAGTAAACTGTTAACTGCCATAGAATGTAATCACTAAGCAAGAGAGGATTATCAAAGTTACAAAAAAGTCATTTAAGAAGACAAGAAAAGGGTTGATTTGGCATTTAATGATCACTTACTGTGATCCAATCTCACACCATAAAACAATGTTACCTAATCTGTTACCTAAATAAGCTATTCTGTAGTAGACATTACAGTACAACATCACAAAGTAGTAGTTAATCACAGATGATTTACAGAAAGTGCAATGATTTCCTCAGGGGCAGGTACACAAACACAGGTGCGTCTCAGGGTCTCAGTAAATAATAACACAAGCGTGCGTGCGTGTGTATAAAAGCAAGAGCATCTGACCTCCCAGCGAGTAATCAGGTTGAGATGATGTCATCCATCAGGTTTGTGAGCGTAAATACAGTAACTGGTTTATTTGCATCTTATTTGCATTTTTATTAGGTCTTTAATGCTATACCCCAGTGTTCACTTACTATGCTGATAAACCGACTGAAGGACTCGCACAGACACACAGTCGCACAATGGAATAAATCCTTAGAGTCAACAAACTAATTCCAGAGTCACACGGGTTAATGCAAACATGCATTAAGACCCATTAGAGGTGCCTGCACACACACAAGGGATATTGTTCAGTGTGAAAGTGACCGCACAAGACCTCCCGCTGTAAACTGCAGAGAGTAAACGAGAGAAAGGGAGAAAGGTCTAAAAAGAGAGATCAATTATAAAGCAGATAAGCGTGTATGTGTGTACATATTGCAATTTAGTCATTTATTAAACTTAGCTCCAAAGCCACTTCCCTAATAAGAAGCTCAGCGTCCCTGGAGTGACCTGCAGTTAAGTGTTTTGCTCAAGGACACAACTTCGATTCTTGTCACCTTAAATGGATAGTTCACCCAGAAATTTAAATACTGTCATCATCTCACTCACCCTCATGTCATTTGAATTCCAGATTTTTATTTTTTCTTGGAATACAAAAGGTATTTAGCAGAATTCTGTTTTAGGGTTTGTATATTTGATATGTTGACCATGATTAAAAACTATCCCAGACCAAGGCCACTTTTTTGTGGTCTGGTGTGGTATCAAAACCACGATCACACTTTTATGACAGGAAAACACATGTTCACATAGACATAGCAGCTGAACTGCAACTGAATTACCTGGTCCCTTTCTTGATATTGTGCTTACTGGTGACACTGGTCGGCCTGGCAATGGGTTTCTTTGGTTTTATCTCTCCATGTGCCTAGAACAAAACACAAATATACCAGAATGGGTTTTAAGGAGAGGTTTTATACAGTCTAGATATGTATGCAAAAAGTTATCCTTAAAAAAACTTGCAAATTAACTGATCATTCAACTACACTTTCTGAAAGCTGTTAGCCAGCATGTTAATACAACAGTTTGTTAGGTTCCCATTCCAGTTTCACTACACTTGGCAATTGGCTTCTACGAACAATGTTTTTTAAACAGCAAGATTTTAGGTTAAAAATAGCAAATAAAAAAAAAATCAAAAGTTTGGAGTCAGTAAGATATTTCCTTTCTTTATTTATATGTTGTTGTTTTTTTTTTTTAAGAAATTCATACTTTTATTCAGCAAGGATGCATTCAATTGATTGAAAGTGACAGTGAAGACATTTCTAATGTTGCAAAAGATTTCTATTTCAAATAATTGCTATTCTTTTAAAATTTATATTCAGAATCATGGAAAACTATATCAAGGTTCCCACAAAAATATTAAGCAGCAAAACTATTTTTAACATTGATAATAATAAAAAAAATAGCTTCTTGAGCACAAAATCAGCATATTAGAATGATTTCTGAAGGATCATGTGACACTGAAGACTGGAGTAATCA